CCCCCCCCCAAAAAAAAAAAAAAAAGCAAAGCCACTACTTTACTTTGACACAGTCCTTTCTGCATCAGTTGTTCAGAGAGCAGCTGAGGCAAATCGCAGCACATGGCCGTGCTGCAGTGCTGCTTAGTTGGAGGTAGTCATCTAACCATCTCATCTGTGTGAACCATGCCAGTTATCACAGCACAGGACTGTTTGCTTCTTGTCCCCATATTTTGGGCTAGATAGAAGAGGGAAGGTGGACTCCCATGCTATGATAATGAAAAGTGTTCTGACAGCTTGGCTGGCTTAGGTGTCCCTGTGCTACACTGCGATCTGAGTTAAATCGGTGCCCAGCACTGTAGGACCTGTAGCAAAATCTGCATATGACTAAGAGTCAGGAGATGCATATCACAGACCATGTCAAGCCCAAAGGGAGGGGACGCTCCTCTCCCCCCAGCGGAGGATAGCAGCAGGACTGTTCAGTTATGCTAGTTGGGTGGGCAGCTGGGCCCAACCATGGTTTAGGAGTTGCTGGCTAAAGCAGCTCCTCCTAACTCACTTCCTCACCTTCCCAGGGCTGGGGACGAGGAGTCTCCAAAGTACCCAGTGCTGGATCCTAGAGCGTTCCCCAATATGCAGTCTGCAACACCTCTTCCGAACAGGTCACTGAATCTGGTTCACTGTTTTGTGACTACAGAACCAGGAAGTGAAACAACTAAGAAGTAAATTCTTCTATGTTCTTCACTCCCTTTTTTTACTTCTCAGTTTTTCAAAGCTTTTTTTGCTTCTTGTTGCATAAATTTTACCAACATAGGATCCTTTTTACTAAGTAACAAATAACCTGTATCCTTTTAACATGGCCTATTTTACAGCACATGGGCTTTATTACTGTGCATAACTTGGCACATTGATCTGGGACTACTGAAATGTGTAAGCCTAGTGGGATGAATTAGAGATGGAATAGCAGTCTGAATTCTACTTCTTCAGACAAGTATGGTCAGATTTGGTTTAGTTGTTTCATTTTATTTTTTGTTCTTTTGGTGGGGCTTGGCAGTTTTCATTTTACATTGACGTTTCTCAAAATTGGTATTTTAAGTTAGACATCTGAAGCTAAGTTTAGGCACCCCCAAAAGCATAATTCTCATCAGTATCAAGTATCTACAGCTTCCATCAAAATCAAATGAATACAGCTTTCCGTACTTCAACATGTTATGATTAAGCAGACACTCATAAAACTGACAAGCTGGAATCAAGTTTCACGTGAAACTGAATTGACATTTCTTCTTAATAGAATCCTTGTAATTGGTGATTACCAGAGGCATTTAAAATGTATGAAATGCCTGCAGGAATGGGAATTAAGAGGGGGGAGGGAAGTCAAGCACCTCGGATCTTTGCCTGGCTACCTTTTATTTTAAATTTCTGCTGTGTACTTAGATGAAACAGCAGGGTTTCTGTAAAATGTTCAGCTGTGGTTTCAGATTATGTTGATGTTACCAGTAGAGAGTGACTTATAATTGAAAACTCATTTGGTTATAAATAGTAGGTTTCAGTCTTGGCTTCCCACTTTATTTCAGTGGTCACATTGTTATCCTTACAGTGGGTATCAGTTAGGTCAAGATAAGCTATAACCTTTCTGAAGTTTTCTGAACCCAGCAGCTATAATAATGCCATTATTTTGTTGGTTTGATCTAAAGAAGAGGCTGAATTTTCTAGGCTCCTTTTCTGATGAGCTAGAGATATCCTACCAATCCTGAAGAAATTTGTATAGGGCTGTAATCATCCTACAACACAGTCAGCAGAATGACTCTCAGTCTTTGTACCGTCTGTTCTCCCACTTGTGATGTAGACATGATGATATTGCATAAAACTCCGAAAGCTTGGTTTTGACTCTTGGCTTTCTTCTGAAAGGGAATATCTAAATGTAACCTACTTACTGTTACCCTTGATGAGTGTCCTTTTCTTGGGGAAGATTTTTTTTTCCTCCCCCCTCTTCTTACAGTTCCCAGCTGAGTATCTGGATACATGCCAATCCACAGAAGATACAAGTTGCTACAGAGCCGTAGCAATGGTGATCCTACCACCTGTCCAAGAAGTGGTCATCACAACTACTTCTTTTCTACTTTCTCTGTAGAAATGCAGTAGCTGCCCCTTACCAGAGGGAAGCTTATTGGGAGGCTGTATAGTTCTTGAACATTGTGATTGTGCACAATAACTTGTTCAAGGCTCCTTTTCTTCTCTCCCTGAGTGATCCATAGTCAAATGATCTTAAATTTGGAGTACTAGTTCTACTGGATACTTCCATGAAGCATACAAAATTTCTGGTCAATCTGAGGACATGCATGAACTCTGCCTAAAATAGTTGCTTTATATTTTTAAATAGCAATTAGTTCCTCAACCATGGCTAGAGTAGTGCTGCCTTTTTTTTTTTTTTTTCTTTAATCACAGGTGGTTTTTTTTTTTTTTTTGGAAATATTATCAGTGTTTCTGTGACTAGTGAAAGCTTTGCTCCTTGGGGATTCTTACCACTGCAGTCAGAGACTCTTATTGCTTCTAAGCGTGCAAAGCTGTTACTGTTAGCCTGGTGTACTGTTAGAGTGGTTGACTTTTGAGAGGGTGATGGTGGGAAGGAAGAAGTAGATTCCTGGTTTACCTGTCAGCCGTATATGGTATATGAATATATAATACAGGCAAGACATGATTGTCTCTTCTCATTATGATCATGCACTAAGATTTACTTCTTAGTTTTGTAAACATCATTTCCCCTCTAAATATACTTTTTTCCCCTCCCATTTCTAATAGAGTCGTTGTGAGCAGCTCAAAAGCAAGAGTAAAGATGCAGAGAATCTTCTAGAATCGTACCCCCATCAGTGTGTTGAGATGGAAAGGTATGAAGCTATAATTTTCTGTCTTACTTTTTTTAAGAAGTCCATTTACATCCTATTATTAAAAATATGTAACACAACATTTTCTGCATTTGTTAATCAATTTATCTTCTTCCAGAGACCCAAGTTAATACTTACTTCCACTTTAATTTATCCTGTGGATGACTATATTAGTTCTGTTTAAATAAATGAAACATGGACATTTTCTGTGCTGAGAAGACCAGAATCATAGAACAGTGTGGGTTGGAAAGGACCTCTGGAGGTCCTCTGGTCCAGCCCCCTGCTCAAAGCAGGGCCAGTTAGGTCAGGTTACTCAGGGCTGTCTGGACAAGTTTTTAATATCTCCAAGAATGGAGATTTCAGAACCTCTCTGGGCACCTGCTTCTTCATGAACTTCTAGTTCTACTGATGCTAGCAATAAAAGAGGTTGTGCTATAGAATATAGAGATACTCTATACATGTATAGAGGTTACAAGACTGCTACAGCCTCCACTGAGACTGTGATAATGGCAACCCATTTCTAAGATAGTCAGTGAGCCATAAGGAGTCCTAAGAAAATTAACAGTGCTGAGCACTTTGGGGAATACTACCATATTCAATAAGCTAAGTTTTGACCCAGAAAATCCTCTAGCTAGTTCACAGATGAGTAAAAGGTAGCTTTAAAAAGCATTAAGTGTAGCGTGCAGATTTGAGAGAGACATACAAGGAAAATGTATTACTTTAAGGTAGCTGTAGATTGTTTTGGGTAGTTTAAGAAACAGTACCCCACCCTTCCTTCTTCCTGAAAGAAGCTGTTTTTCTCAGTTTAGTTTACTGTGAAATAACTGGGTTTGAAACCCCTTACAAGCTGGGGTTTCCCATTCGTTCAAGGCTTTGTGTGTGCCATTGCCAGTGTCTCCACGAAGGGAGGGAGTGGTTAAGTTCCCTTCTGATGATGGCATCCCTGGTGAAATTAGATGCCAGTCACTGGCAGTTCAAGCACTCAGTCTGTGATGCGGACACCTGTGCAGCAGGCTACCTCCGTGCTTTGTTTTGGCCACCTAACATTTAGCATAGGCAAGAAGGTGGCTTGACTTAACAAAGCTGGTTGTCCTTCGTCAGCTACTGTATGTTAAATTTCTTGTCTGAATTTCCAAGTGCTATTCTTCTATTTATTCTGTTTGCATTGCAGATAGGTAACTGAAAATATCTCAAGTCTGCGTGGGAGAGATTGACCTAAGTCAATCATAGATTTGGTTTTTTTCAGTAGGCAGCACAGCTATGAAGCCAGGTCAATAAGGTGTCGGTCATGTGTTCACATTCCTGCCTAAGAGTGAATTAGAATGCGAAATGGGCAGTGCATAGGTCTTGTTACGCCTGATGCAGAAACAGAAGGAACGGTGGTATAAAATGCTAGTTAAAAAGCTAAACCAGGTAAGTGTGTCAGAATCACAGTTCTCCACAGGAATGAAAATCAAATCTGAATAGACTCCTTGTGCTCAGGCTATGACCATGGAACAGCCAGCCCAGAAGGGGCAGCAGGAGCATGCGTTTCGGAAAGATACCTACTGAGGCTAGGAGAGTACCCTAAAAGGGGTTCAAGCTTTTCTAGCTACTGGTCTTCATAGAAAAAGAGCAGGTGCTTGAAAAAAATATCAGCAATTTTTGGTCTGCTTTAGATTTGTCTCTCTGTATTTGCTGTTATTTCCACCAGCGATCCCCATGCAGCTAAATGAGTGCTGGGGTGATGAATCTGGGTGAATGTGCTCCATTTGCTTTTTCCTCGAAGAGACAGTCACCCATAATTCACTTACATGTCACTTAAAGCCCAACAAAGCTGGCGAAAGTCATTTCATTGGCTTTCTTGAGGTTGAAATTCAGCCCAAATGCTATCCAGCAGGAACACATTTAATTACAGTCTTGGTACTGTTATGAAGCAAAAGGTTGAAGTGAAAGGAGAATGATGTTATTGTCCTTAGGTGTAGCCTATAGGATAGAGGAGTGAGGCAGCAAATATTGAAATGCAGTTCTAAAGAACTGGAACCTTCAGGCCCACAGGAGAGCAGAACAGTGAGATAAGTAACATGTTATTCAGTGTTAAATAGCTAGTCTTTTTCTTCTTGCATGTAGCATATTTGTTCAGGGGAATATTTAATTCTGGAAAATACTAAGCGCTATATGCTAACAGGTTTGCTTTTTCTTCAGTGAGATGGAACAGATTATAGGTCCAATTTCAGTTAATTACTGGGGCCTTTTTTAGCTTATTCTTAGAGAAACCAGATGTGTTTCCATTAAGAACATGCACCTCTTTTGTTGGGATTTGTGTAATTCTTAAAATTAAGCAAAACCATTAAAGAATAATTGTTTCTGTTCACATTAACAGCGCACAGCTTCTCCAGATGTGGCATTTCACAGCCAAACAGCTGCTGGCTATTAAATCTTCCTTAAAAGCTCTATTCCTTTGTCGTAAAGGGAGCAGAAGTGTAGGGACGTTTATGGGGTGATAGGCAGATGTTTTGACTGGATCAGATTTGAGCGAAAATTGAAGCAGTTTCTCTGCTACAGCTTCAGTGTGTATATGTTTAACTCTTATCATTCACCTCACATTATAGAGCTCTCTTCTTGGAGATGGAGCGGGATTATTTTTGATCTCACACTTACCTCCCAAGTGACAGTGACAGCACTTTTTAGAGTGAAATGGCCCAGAGTATGAAAAGAGAATGTGATTTTTCTGTGAGGTGGATCTCACCTGGTGGCTGGCTTTCTAGCTATGCTTTTGAAATAGTGGGTGAATTGTATGTTTTGGTGAAACTTGAATTAAAAAATGAATCAAGTTGGAAATGATATGAAATTGTGTGTTGTAAGTAGCAGTCTCTTAAAAAATTATGTATATGTACACGCACACGTACACACACACACACACACACACTCACACACAGCCTCTTGGTTGACAAAGAGAAGTGTTCTTTCTGTGTGTTTGCACCAGTGCAGCATACTTTATGCCTAATAAACTCTTATAGGGATATGTGTGAGGCAGAATGTAGAATTAGCGAAGCTCAATTTGAAGCTGTGAGCAAAGGCAGAACTGTAGGTATTGCATACTAGGATAGCCCCATTTATTCTTAAGGGGCTGCCTGACATTGTAACTGTTATCTATCAGCTCAGGATCTAGTTGCTAATCCTTATTAAAGTTATAAGAGCTCATGAGACTGCAAAACTTTCCCAGAAGAAAAGTCTGGGCAAGACTTGTTTTCCTGGCAAGATCTTATTCTTCCCATTACTTGTTGGACTGGCAATTCTTTGTCATTTGGTCTTAACTGAGTAAATTTTTAATGTAAAGGTCCTAACGTCTAGGTTAGGCCTTTTCCAGAGAGGCAGCAAGTGTTTTACCATGTATGTTGGTAAGTAGTAGGTGAAACATTAGCTGAAATGATTTACCTTGAAATTTGCCTTTTTTTTTTTTTTTAATTCTGATTCATTTCATCCTCCATAATTCAAATGCAGAAATATATTTCTTTCCACGGATCTCTTTGTTATAGCAGGCTTTTAGCCAAACAATAATCTCATGTCCAAAATGCCCACCCGGGGGGATGAAGCATATGTTCAACCACTAGACTCTGGAATTCATTTCCTGTCAAAATATGGCTCTGCAGTGTTGGAGCCCAGCTGTAAATCCTGGCTTAAAACCTGTTTCACGATTGTTTATGGTGTATATTTGTGCTTTTCACCAATCACATAAGAGTGACCCCAACACACCAGCTCTGAAATTATTATTTCAAATGAATTATATGCATTTAATATTAAATTAATCTTTTGCAGTAAATGCAAATTGTAGACATGCCCATTGTTGCCACGTAACTACTATTAATAATTAATAATGCTGATTCCCACTAAAAACCAGGGAGAGCCAAGAGCTCACAAGTTGTGCTGCAGGAGAAAGCCGCAGAGCTGGTACCTGCCTATTTGATAAACATATCTTCTCACCATGAGTCTATGCTGCCACAAGCCCAAAGCATTAGGGTAATCGAAAGACCATGGGAGCAGTCCATCAGACCATGAATGGTTACTGCTTCATTATGAAAGCTTATATTAGTGGGGCTTGTACTGTCTCCTGTTTCTTCTCTTGACCAGGAGAAGCTTGACTGTAAGTACCCTTGACTGTATTAGAACCTGTTAATTTCCACACCTCGCTTTTCCTTTCTAGCGCTGCCAAATTTTGGTTTTAGTGATAGGCTTTGCTCTGGCTCTGTTACGTGCATAATTTAATAATATTCTGTGTGCATATACAACTGACGTTTCATAGCATGAGCCTATGAGGACAGGGTTTGTTTAATTGTATGGCATTGATTTGCCTAGGAATTTCAGTATCATTCATATACAAAGGATGGACTGGGCACCATTTTATTCTGGCTGCCAGCTGAGAAATTAACTTACTAAAGAAAATGTGACAGTGTATAAATGATCAACCACAAAAAGCCATTAAAGTCCAGAAATTGAAATGGCACAAAGAAGTACCATAGAGCAAGAAGTGAAAATAATTTTAAAGGCAGCAAGGTGAATACATAGCATACAGTTGATCTTAGTGGTGATGAAATCTCGAGTGGATGTGGCAGCTTGCAGAAGGAAAGATTTTTTTATGCTTTTAGAATATGGCTAGAACCAGACTGGTGCCTACTTTTCAAGTATGAGATGAAAACTGAGTAAGCTCTCTCCTTCCCCTCCAAGCTGCTAAAACTCATGCTGCACAACTGGCTCCTTTCATCTGTTTTATCTGTAGGTTTTACTTCCCTATGAAAAGTCTTAATCTTCTCAGCAAAAATAGTTAAGTAATTCAAAATTTTGAGGAGTTATATTTCTAATCTCTTATTGTCTTCCGCTTTAATCATAACAAGCTATGGGAGTAAGATGGGTCATGTATTTCACACATCTTCCTACTTACATATTTGAAAAAGCTTTTGCACATAGAAGGGATATACTTTGCCCCTTATGACCAGATGCAAGTGCCTTTAATAATCTCTGATGATTGCTTTCACAAAAGGAAAGAAAATACGATGTTTCTGAAACTTTAATGGTTTTTGTATTTATTATTTATTTCTAATAAATAGATTGTCTGCTCATTGCTGTCCTATTGAGGAATGTCATTTCATTAGTGAAAATGAAGTGCTTTCTTCTGGAAAATGTTGGCCAAGGGGTAACTCAGTAAAGATGTTAATGATGCAGAAATGTGTCTTTGAACTTTACAAAATCAAAAGTAATTTAGAGAAGACTGCTTTATGGCAGCTCCTTTGAGTGCCCTCTACAGCTCAACAGGGGAAACTCAAATAATCATGAAGAACTGTCATGTTCTTCTGGGTAGCTCCTGATAACTGTCAGCCTGAAGTACTCAAGCACTCACTCATCTTTGTGCTCTGAAAGTCTGGACTGTAAAATGGATTTATGTGCCAGATTTGATTACTTAACATTTCACATGTTTCATGGTAAATATGTCCTCCCAATTCTCAAAGTGGCCAATACTTCTGTAAAATACAGGTAAAATGAGGGATGGTTTCCGATCAAAAGAGCTTAGTGTAAAAACAGAGGGGAAAAACAAATGTTCTCAGCAATCCAGATGAGGAAATAATTTTCTGACTTGCATGATAATGTCAGAAACGTGGAAATGGCAGAACAGCAATGAATTGTAAGGATTTGAGTCTTTTGTGGTTCCTTTCCTTTTATACTGGCATAGCTGGTTCTTGGTTCTTCAGAAGGGAGAAGGCAGAGAAGACTGAAAGGTAGCAGCCAAAGGGAAGTACTACGTACAGCTACAGTGGCAGACAAACTGCAGGTAGCAGAGCAGAAAAATGGATATTTCCTGGCTGAAAGGAAATATGTAAAGCCAACCCATCATCTCTATGGGGCATTTCCCAGCTTGGTGCATGCTGTAATCTCAAAAGGCTGTGGTCAGACCCAGCAGGAGAGATCACTGCAGACTGCCTAAGTACTTACTACTGCACTCCTGCCATAGGTTACTGCAGGTCTTTTACTGTCCGCAGGGCTGCACCTCAAAAGTGCTACTTTATTTCCCTTAACAGTTGTTTTATTCTAAGCCACTTTATTTTAATTAAAAGGCTTTAAAGAAAACCTGACTACTTTGACTGAGACAGGTGATATGGTTGTGTTACCAGTTAAGGGTGGTAATTTACAGTCAAGAGGTAGTAAAGATGAAAAGTGGCTGGGGTAATAGTGCAGTCTGCAAGCTCTTTGGCTGGCTTTGCTGCCAAAGGTGGAGCAGGACTCTGACTGCAAGCCTGAGCAATGAGCAAAACGCCCTTTATGAGAAGCCGCTTGTGGGCCAGTGTTCCCTCCCCGCTAAGCGGTAAGCTGGCTGCTCTACTGATCTCGCAGGGGATGTGTGTGGAGCCGGGGAAAAAAGAAAGCAGCTGGCCTACCTTTATTCAGGAGTCCAAGCACAGGTGAAGAACGTGAAGTTCTGAAAGCTTACTCTGAAAATATTGGCCTGTGGTTTTAACAGCTAAATCCCTTAATGCTGCTTAGTAACACTTATTGTGCTCTACTTAATCTCTGCCCTCCTTTTGCCATATTTTACGAGTTCTAAGTAGGTTCTTGCACTGGTTTCTCCCAGACTATGTAAATACCATTTCCCTTTCCCCAAGCTGTACCACAGTGACTGCTCCCGTGCTGTAACTTCTCAACATCCTCCAACGCACTGAATTCTCTGCACAGCATTCACCCAGTTCGGTTACACAATTCACGTCTCCCTCACTAGGTGCAGAGACAGGAGTCCAAATGAGCTAAAGGTGCGGTTTTCTAGGGAAGTGCACTGGGGGGGGCAGAAGGGAGGGGTAGAGAGTGTCATTGCATAGTTCTTAGTAAGTAGCTGATTACAAATGAAGCCTCTAAGCGTAGCTATTTGGTCATGATGCTGCCCGAGAAGTTATTGTCTGAGAACTTTAGCGCACAACTGCCTTTAAAAAAAAAAAAAAAAAAAGTGCCAATTTCACTGGTCTCCTGTATCTCTCAACTTTATAACGAGACAGACAAAAAAAAAAAACTGTTTTCTTTCTCAAGTTGCTTCGTTTTCCTCCTGTAGTTTTCTTCCTAACGTTCATTTGTGCTGATGAGGCTTGTGACTCCTCCTTGATCCTGTACACACCTTAAGTCCTCATTTTCTCCTCAAAGCCGAACTGAAAGGGAAGCTGAGAAGCATGTAGGTTGTGTGCTGGCCCTGTGGTGAAATGACCTTGCTCGTAAGGCCAGCCCTGCAAGGTGCCATGCAGAGCTGGTGATGCCAAGGCTCACCTGCCACCACAGGCACAGCTCATGCTTTATAAACTGCCACAGAAGTTTAAAACCACTGCAGGCAACTGCACCTCCATGAGGTTTATGAAAATGGACATAAAGAAAATCTTTCTCTTAGTTGTTGTAACTTTGAAAGGGAACTATGGCCAGTTAAAGTGGTCTAAAAAAGCCCAATACTCTTCTGTTGGGTAATCTGTTTCTTTGAACTCGCTCTGGTTACTATTTTGGCAAAAATAGCCGAGGTTGGTATGAGGGAATGTGTTTCTGCGTAGAACAAAATCCTGTCAATGTGCTCTGGTATTTTTGGCCCTTCCCAGGCTAAAAAAAATTGTTTGTCATTCCTTGAGTAAAAATACTTTTTCCTTACAAATCTAGCCCTAGAAACACACCCAAGTATGTGGCCCTGCATATGCAGAGAGTACTTCATAGAGGCAACATAGCTGAGAACGACTTGCTGCCTGTTTGCCCAGTCTAATACTGCCTCAGTTTCTGTGCTTGATGACGTAGGCAGGGTTCATGCCAGCTCAGAGACTGGAATTCTAGATTAGCTACTAGAAAGCAAGTCAAATGAAAGGTCTTGAGGTTTTACTTACTCTTGTTTGCTAGTGTTTGAATTTTATTGTAGTACCTCTGCAAACAGTTTTGCATTCGTGCTTAATACGAATTCAGTTCTGTTATGATCTCTGTGTGTAAATATCAAGAATAAAATGAATCATCTTATACTATCAGCTTGAAATTCACCACACTTACTTTTCTGATTCGAATAGATGGATTTGTTTATTGGATAATTTTATCCTTAGTCCCTTTTAATTTTCCCCGGAACATGCAGTGAGATCCCTTTGGATTGCCTGTCTGAACTGAAATAAATATAACTGATAAACTCTTAACTGCATTCAGTATTTCTCGTAGTTCAAATGAAGAATTGAACATTTGCTGCCTAAACCAACCTGTGATATTAGTGTAACGGGTTGCTAATGTCTTTGAGTCTTGCAATTTGCTTTCATGCTCTGGTGATGCACTACTTTAAATTTAGGTTTTGTTTTAGGCTGTTAGGAAATGAAGGTTTGAGTTTGCAAAAAGACTTAGCACTTTTTGAAAGCTTGACCTAGTCTAGGTTTGGGGTGGGGGGAGGGGGGGAGTTACTTTATTTATGCCCTGCCCTTTCTTGAAAGTCATACTCCTTCCTTAAGGTATATCAAGTGGATTGTCCCTAATTGCTCGTTTTGGCAAATTTGGAGCAAGCCCTTAAGTGGACTTATGTCCTGAGTGTCCTTAGCAGAGAGACTGAAAAATACCCAATGGTTTTCCCACCAAATAAATCTTTTAGGGTATGGAACAGGTCCATTGTTTCAAGATATGATGTTCTTAAAAGGAATTTTCAGAAAAAAAAGATTGGAAAAAGCATATTAAATATATTATGAAATATTACATAGAAATACACCAGCAAAAAAACATTGTCCTCAGAGCACCTAATTTTGGATTTCAAAATATCATTTTTTGTTAAAATGAAATTTAATATTCTTGCAGTCTGGAGGGAGAAGGAAGGAGGAGCATGACAGTTTCGTAACAAGCCCAGGAGGGTTGACTATGATTTTCTAGACACAAGATAGTAAAATTCATAATGAATGACTGTTTAAATATTTAAAGTAAATTTCTATTACAAAGCGCTTAAGAATTCCTTGGGTGTGACTCTAGTCTTCTTGGATTGGGTAGCAGGTAACAGGAGATTTGTGAACAACTAGCTCTCCGGTGTATTTTATCACATTAAGACGACAGTTGACATTTATCTTTTCTGCAGTTCAAGTTGTTGTGCATTAACTGCAAAGTATAACGTTGTTATTTCTTTCTAAGTAGGTGTGAAAGCAAAGAGCTTGATGTTGAAATAAGGAGTCTGATAGAGAAGAATAACGCTTCCCAGTTGTGGGAGAACCCTGAACCTCTTGCCCAAGAGTGTCCGAACAGTCAGAGAACTTCGTGTTCCCTTAAGGTAAAGGTAGTTTTCTTTTGCAATAGTTTATCTGTGAAGGAAGAACATCAAGGGGACGTTCCCTGTTGCTTAAACAACTATACAGGAAACTTTTTGATTTCTGAAATGATGCACTGAACTTATTATGCATTTTTTCTCTGTTATGAGGAAGACTGAGTGAGAAGATGCATTTTACTATACTTAAAAAGGCCAGCTAAAGCCAGCCATTTGTCCAAAGTGCCACTCTGTGTAGCCAGCTCTGGCTTTTCGATAATGGTGATCCACAAAACTGCATGCACTGAGAACACAAACATTTCTCTAGGTTGTTGCATCCAATAGTGCAGAAGTAAATGAGGATGAGAAGAGATGTGGGAGACAAAGATATTTGGGAGGGAAAGGAAGGTATTTAGATAAATAGGAACATGGCTGTGAAGAAGAAAAGCTATGATTTAAACCCACGCTTCTGTGGTATTATAAATAGAAAATTATAATCTACCTGCTACGGTGGACTTCTTTGTTGATTGAAATGAAGCAGAGGTTAACAAGCATGATAGGAACTTGTTCTAGGTTTTCCTCTTCCCTTAAATAGCAAGTTGTTTTTTGTTATGCAGTAAGAGGGCCAAAGGAGATTCTGGTTTTCTGCAAACCGGAGAGGGAGGAGTGAGAGGTATGGAAGAGAGAAATGCTTAAACTATGAATTCCAGCCACCTGGGAGGGATGATACACTTACCTGCCTGCATGGCTCTAGCAGAAGGGAAGGGAAATTTCTGAAGGCAGTAGCCCAAAGTGTAATGCAGGAAATTAATGAGAAGATAAAGATGAATGAAATCGCACATAGCTCTCTTCACACATAAACCGCTATTTCTAAAATGAGTCATGACCCTGAGGCATGAAACAGAGCTAAGCCTAAAGAGACATCCCAGGGTCAGACCGGTGGGATTAGAAACACAGTGAAAGAGAACCTACACTGAGAAACGGGGATTCCCAACCCCAGGGGAGAAATAAGAATAGCGAAACAGAAGTCAGCACAGAGAGCAGACTCGAGCAGCATTGAACTATGTAGTTACTGTGCAGAACAGTGAGCTGAAAAAGTTCTGTGGAAACCCTCAGGCCCCCACACGTTAGCCTCCCTCCAACGGAAAGAGATACAGGAAAGGATTTGGGGGAAAGGAAAGAAAGAGAGCGTGCTCACCTCAAGCTTTTCTGTTGTGTACTTCAGTACTTCCCGTAGAACGCTGTGGCAATATTTCATCTGTAGCTTTTTTGGTTTTTTGCGTTTGTAGCACTTGTTTGCGCTTGAAAGACGTGTGTGTACGCACATATGTACGTGTGTTTCATAGCTGAAAGGAGGAAGAAGGTTTATGATGCTTCCACAGTAGAAATATATTGGTTGTTTTTTATTTATGCTTTTAAGGCAAATAGCTTTTCGCTTAGCTGGTTATTGGCTTGGACCTTAAGTAAGAGACAACTTCACAGCTGTGATACAGTCTAACAGTCTCCATATAAGAAGCTATGAGCTCATGTTCTCAGTTGTGTATTTTGGGGAAGAGGGGTAATATTTTTAACAAAGCTAAAATACTTCCTGTTATGAAGGACATAAAATAGCCATTGAAAAAATCAGAAAGCGATAGTTTGTGAAATGAGATACTGATTTAAACTTGAAATGAGGGAAGAGTCTATGTTTAGGAATTAGGAAAAAGATATAATGAAACAAATGTATACCCTTCACTACAGTATTGGGCATTCTATCAGGAAGTTACCTGGTGAAGCCAGTAAGTCTGTTTTATTATGAGATGAAGCGTATGGATCGCGTGCTGCAAAATGATATGCTCTTCTGAGCCTAAGGCACTTCCAAGACTTATCTGGGAGCATCTGTAAACAAATTCCCTTTTACTGCCTTCCTTTTTCTTCAATGTTTTTTCATAAAAATATATATTATTATCATAATTTTAAAGGCAATATCTGAGAGAGAGAATTCGGCTGTGCAGGATAAGCAGAATTAACTCTCAGCACTTCCTTCACTCTGTAGTTACTGTATCTGTAGTAGTTTCACTCGGCTTGTCAAATTGCTGTTCTATGCAATTTCTAATTCACATCTACTTATCCGTTCCTTCTTTTCTTCTGCATCAGCACTTACGTGTTGCTGCAAGTACACGTGAACGAAAAGTCCGGTTCTGCAGAGGTTGTAGTCTAGGCAAACTGCCAGTCCTCAAAACATTCCTCAGGAAGGAGATGGTTCATTATTCTTCACTTTAGATGGAGAAATTGAAGACCAAAGGGATCAAAAATATTACTAAAAAGTACTAAGCTATACTGCCTGCAGAGAATTTTCAGTATTTAAGGCTTCATCAAGATTTTATATACCAGGAAAATATTTTCTAGGGGAAGTGGAGGGAGAATGTAAAAGTATCAAATAGGAAGGAAAAGTAGCAATTAAAACAGTTAGTTGTGTGTCAACATAAGGTAAAATCAGGACTAGTGGGAGAGATAACATATTTTATGGGATCAGTGGGTAGCTTGAGAAAATGAATAAACTTTCATGTTTCAATAAACAAGCATGTAAACTTTTTTTAGTAAAAAATAAGAAACGTATTTTGTTTAAGGCCTGTCTGCGCTTCCAACAACCGTGTTGTCTAACTGGATCAAACAAGCTACTTTGAATTACAAAGTAGCATCCAATTGTATCATGAAATTGGAGTTTTCATCTTCTGGGCCAGAGTTTGCAAACTGTTAGGTATTTGAGCAGCTGTGCACTTAGGATTAGTTCCATTGCCAATGAAGAAAAACAGTGGATAAAGGAAATTTTGAAACACAAACCTGTGCTATGCTTCGCTGACACTGAAGCCCTGTCTTGCTCTGATTTTATCTGATTCCCACATATTAAGGTACACCTTCACATCTGCCCTTATTTTTCTGTTAGAGAATTGTGGGTACCTAACTGAACAACATGCAAGAGGTTGTTTGACATAGTTAACCAAGGGAAAATCCCTTTCTAGCACGTTTCTCTGTCTGGGTAAGGCACGTAGACCAAGTGTAGACAGGAAGAGTTAGAGAATTCTGTTTTAAAGGTTGGTTTTACTCTGCCAATAAAATTCTTCGTTTTTTTACCATTTCAAAATGTACACCAGGATGGGAAGACAGGCAGACTCCCGTTCTGAATCTTTAATACCTGCTTCTTAGCAATCTAGCACCATTTAAAGCTGTTTACATGGATAATGTGGCAAGAACTAGTGCCACAATAACAGCTTCAGGAATAAAACATTCATTATTAGCACTTCTACTCAAAGCAGATTAAAAAATTACAGGGCAGTTTTGAGAATGTTCCAAAGCCGAAACAAAAGCTTGATGAAAACGTAAGCAAACAGAAAGCTCCCCAGAAGCCACTACATTTTAACTCGAGCAATCTTAGAATAAATCTGACTTTTACAATTAAGAAATCCCGCAGCAGCTAGGAAGAAAAAAATTTAGATGATTTTACCATTTTCTCATCATCAAGGAAAGATTCTCCTTTACTTCTAATCAAGCACTTTAATGGGTCTTGGTTTCACTGGAATTAATGAGCAGCCAGGATTTGCAGAAGTGACAGGTGACTTTCATTATCTTAATTTGTGCATGCCTGTTTTGTAATACTGTAAGAGATGCCTTTCCCAGGATAAGGATCCCGTACTCTAAAAATGAGAACTTGTAACTTCTTGTCATACTAGTGCTTGAGAGGGGATTCTGAGTTGCCTAGAGCTCTGATGCATGGATTTTCTCCCATAGTGAGCTTCCCGAGGAAGACTGAAAGGCTTTTACGCCCAGAAAAGTCGGATCTTCCTAGAACATAAACAGTTCTCATTTTTTACACAGGAGAAAACAAAACAAAACAAAAGTTTGAAGCCACAACTAATGGAAGTTTTAGGATATAATAGAAATTAATAAAAGGCTTCTAAGCAGCTCTGACCACTTTGCCCTTGCAGGCACTCCTGTGCTGCTGCTTGTGCATTAAATCAGTGAGTTTCGGAGGGGCAGCAAGCCCTGCCTAGTTCCATTTGGTTCCTAGGAAGTTTTTTCCATCATACCTGAGAGCTGACTGGCTTATTTCTGCTCCTCACAGCAATCCCTCTGCGTGAGCTTCGCATTTCCAGCTTGCTGCTGGGCGTTCCTGGCTGCCACACTCGGAGGCATCTGAAACTTTCTTCCTCAAGTGTGCTCAAATTGCTTGCCGTAAAAGATGTTTCCCCCTTCATGCCAGTCTTTAATACACGACAACAAAAATGAAAGATAAAGCAAGTGTTGTCTGCCACAGTGATCAGAACGGCATGTCTGAGGAGTTTTGAAATATGTGCTGTTAATTCTGCTATGTCACCGTTGTCTGTAGCATGCACAGAAATCCTGAATACCAAAGGTAGCGCTTTGTATTCTAAAAATGTGGGTATGGATGGCAGGGGAGAAGTGTCAAGAGTAGGAGGACAAAAGGGTAAAGGTCATGCTAAGAATTCATACTGATTCAGAGAGTGTAAATGTTGATTATGATTCACAGACATTTCAGAAGGTTTCTGACTATTACTTGAACTCTTTCCAGGTGGAGGCTTGTTCGCTACAAGATATCTTTTAATACAGGATTAGTCTTTGTAATAGAGATATTGCAGTGGAAGTAGAGGAATAAAATGGCTCCTGTGGACATTAAGGAAGCATTTTCATAACACATGTAAATAGAAAAAAAGTCAGTCAGTATTCTAGAAGGAGCCAGATCTGATCAGCTCCCTAAAGAAAGAAAGTAAACACTCTTGTATGAATTTCATTTTCTTAAGTTCTAGAACCCCACTTGCTCGTCTGCGGAGCAGAATCTGCTCCAAGCTTCTCTACTTTCTTTTCCATTTTTACTTGAATTATACTCAAATGTAAAAGAAGTTAAATTATATTCAGTGGAGGTTGATGCTAAAATTGTATGTCACAGCCCGGTAGTAGGAGTAATAGCATTTAATATCCTTGTTTGGGATAGAAGGAGCACGTGAAGGAAGTGACTTTCTGACGAGACA